TTCTTTTCATATTACCGATTGTTCAAAAAGCTTTGAAAGGGTGTTAAAAAAACTTCCAACACATCCGCAAACCATGCCCAATTTTTTGCGACTAAATTTTGGTAAGTCCAAACTATTGTCAGAGTTTTCGGACTCAAACTTTCGACGCGACAATGCATTCCGGATTCGGCGCGACCCACAGCGCGACTTTACGTCCAGACTTTCCAGACTCAGACTCTTGGCGTGAAAATACAATTAGGGGCTAAATCCTGATGCGGCGCTACTCACGGGCGCGACCCACAACTCAAACTCTCTGCGCGACGAACGTGGAGACGGCACAACTTTGCGGACCAAGGCGGAGACAACCCAGAAAAAAACTAAATTATTTTTTCCCGGCCGCCTCTGCCTTGGCCTGGAAAGTCGAGCCGTCTCCTACTTGATCGCAAAAGTAGCGCCGTATCCACCTCGGTCGCTAAGGTCATGAAGAATTGTTTCTTATTCGCGCCGCCTCCGCCTTGGTCTGGATAGTCGCACCGTCTCCGCCTTGGTCTGGAAAATTGCGCCATCTCCACCTTGGCCTGGAAAGTCGTGACGTATCCGTCTTGGTCCTGAAAGTCAGGAAATGGCTATTTTTGATCGATCTGTCCAAGCCGGTCGCGCCGTTGTATTTTGAGTTGCACCATTTCCTGAGTGGCGTCGCCTCAGCCTTGGTCGCGAAAGCAGCAAGAAACCTTTATTTGGTCGCGCCGTTTCCACCTCGGTCAAGACACTCTGGAAATGGCTAAATTTGATTTCGCCGATCGCGCCGTTTCCTGTGTTAAGCTGGTCGCGCCGTCTCTACATCGGTCGCAAAAATCATGACTGAATTTTTCGATAGCCAAAGTCTGAAACTGGCAAATATTGGTCGCGAAAATTTGGAAATACTAAATATTGATCACAATTTTTCGGTCGCACCATCTCCGCCTCGATTGCAAAAGTCGATTGTCTCGATTGGATCATTATGGTCGCGAAAATCTGGAAATGCCATGTTTCCGTGGCGAAAGTCTGGACACGCCTAAATTCGGTTGCGAAAATCTAAACACGCTTAAAGTTAGTCGCGCCAGTCTGGAGATGAATCTGAGACCTCGACCCGAGACGGGTCACTTCGTCAAATTGTAAGGAGCATACATTAGAGGTGAAATGGTTATAAAAAACCTACTGTAGAGTCACATCTTTATTCGAGTAGCATAAATTGCTGAGATGGTTTTTACAAATTATTTGTTTAGTTTTTGACATTAATTATAATTGAAAACTTGGCAGCGAGCAGTGATCGATCCGGAAATCTTCTGACGTTCAAGCGAGTGTACTTGCACTAGCCTGAATATAGTCGAAAACTGCTGTAATATTATTGATACTTTCAAAGATGCAAATTGCAAATTTCTAATGGGTGGCAAATTGACCCCCATTCGTTTTTGTTTCGAATTGAATTGATACAAAATACAACTTTTTGAGGCAAACTTAGCATTTTGGACCTAAATGTAGGCAAACTCAGCACTTTATTTTTAACATTTATCAAAATTTTAATCGAAAACTAATTGCGGTCAGTTGGGGGGTAGTTAGAACAATCAAGACCTTATCCTGCTATACGAGCAGGCTTTTTCAATTTAAAAGTTGATTTCTGCGTTTGCTAAAACTTTGTATTAGATTGATTAAAATTCAAATTTTATCTTAGTTGTAGAAGTGACTAAATTTTACTGTTCCGGCTTTGGAAGAAGGCGAGGGAGTGTTTATGTTTTGGGGTGATTTTTTTTTACATTTATTAGATTTTTGTACCATAACTTTTGTGACAAAAATTTTTAAAACAATAAAAAAAAAATTCATGTCCGAAGTTCAAATTAAAAAAAAATTGTGTGATAATTTTTGTAAAGTCATAGATGTTTGAAAACTTGGTCTGGAAAGTTGCGCCATCTCCACCTTGGCCTGGAAATTTGCGCCGTATTCTTCTTGGTCCTGAAAGTCTGGAAATGGCTAATTTTGGTCAATCTGTCCACGCCGGTCGCGCCGTTGCGTTTCCTGAGTAGCTTCGCCTCCTTTTTGGTCGCGAAAGCCGCGAGAAACCTTTAATTGGTCGCGCCGTCTCCAAGTTGTTCGCAAAAGTCGCGCCGTTTCCACCTCGGTCAAGACACTCTGGAAATGGCTAAATCTGAATTCGCCGGTCGCGCCGCTTCCTGTGTTGAGCTGGTCGCGCCGTCTCCACATCGGTCGCGAAAATCATGACTGAATTTTTCGATAGCCAAGGTCTGAATATGGCAAATATTTGTCGCAAAAATCTGGAAATACTAAATTTTGATCGCAACTTTTTGGTCGCACCATCTCCGTCTCGGTTGCGAAAGGTGCGACGGATCTTTCTGGTCACGAAAATCTGGAAATGCCATGTTTCAGTGGCGCAAGTCTGGACGTGCCTAAAATCGGTTGCGAAAATCTAAACATGATTAAAATTTGTCGCGCCAGTCTGGACATCAATCTGAGACCTCGACGCGGGACGGGTCAAATCGTCAATTTGTAAGGAGCATAAATTAGTGGTGAAATGGTTATAAAAAACCTACTTACTGTAGAGTCACATCTTTATTCGAGTAGCATAAATTGCTGAGGTGGTTTTTACAAATTTTTTGTTTAGTTTTTGACATTAATTATAATTGAAAACTTGGCAGCGAGCAGTGATCAATCTGGAAATCTTCGGACGGTCGAGCGAGTGTACTTGCACTAGCCTGAATATAGTCGAAAACTGCTGTAATATTATTGATAGTTTCAAAAACGCAAATTGCAAATTTCTAATGGGTGGCAAATTGAACCCCATTCGTTTTTGTTTCGAATTGATTTGATACAAAATACAACTTTTTGAGGCAAACTTAGCATTTTGGGCCTAAATGTAGGCACACTCAGCACTTTATTTTTAACATTTATCAAAACTTTAATCGAAAATTAATTGCGGTCGGTTGGGGGGTAGTTAGAACAATCAAGACCTTATCCTGCTATACGAGCAGGCTTTTTCAATTTAAAAGTTGATTTCTGCGTTTGCTAAAAATTTGTATTAGATTGATTAAGTTCCAAATTTTATCTTAGTTGTAGAAGTGACTAAATTTTACTGTTCCGGCTTTGGAAGAAGGCGAGGGAGTGTTTATGTTTTGGGGTGATTTTTATTGACCTTTATTAGATTTTTGTACCATAACTTTTGTGACAAATATTTTTTAAAACAATTTAAAAAAAGAACAATTCATGTCCGAAGTTCAAATTAAAAAAAAATAGTGTGATAATGTTTGTTAAGTCATAGATGTTTGAAAACTTGGTCCGGAAAGTTGCGCCATCTCCACCTTGGCCCGGAAATTTGCGCCGTATCCGTCTTGGTCCTGAAAGTCTGGAAATGGCTTATTTTGGTCAATCTGTCCACGCCGGTCGCGCCGTCGCATTTTGAGTCGCACCAATTCCTGAGTGGCGTCGCCTCCGCCTTGGTCGCGAAAGCAGCGAGAAACAATTAATTATTTAATTGGTCGCGCCGTCTCCAAGTTGGTCGCAGAAGTCGCGCCGTTTCCACCTCGGTCAAGACACTCTGGAAATGGCTAAATTTGAATTCGCCGGTCGCCGCGTTTCCTGTGTTCAGCTGATCGCGCCGTCTCCACATCGGTCGCGAAAATTATGACTGAATTTTTCGATAGCCAAAATCTGAAAATGGCAAATAATGGTCGCGAAAGTCTGGAAATACTAAATATTGATCGCAATTTTTCGGTTACCTTATCTCCGTCTCGGTTGCGAAAGTCACGACGGATCATTCTCGTCGCGAAAATCTGGATAAGCCTTGTTTCCGTGGCGAAAGTCTGGACGTGCCTAAAATCGGTTGCGAAAATCTAAACATGATTAAAATTTGTCGCGCCAGTCTGGAGATGAATCTGAGACCTCGACCCGAGACGGGTCACTTCGTCAAATTGTAAGGAGCATAAATTAGTGGTGAAATGGTTTTAAAAAAGCTACTGTGGAGTCACATGTTTTTTCGAGGAGTATAAATTGCTGAGGTGGTTTTTACAAATTATTTATTTGGTTTTTGACATTAATTGCAATTGAAAATTTGGCGGCGAGCGGTGATCGATCTGGAGATCTTTGCACTAGCCTGAATGTAGTCGAAAACTGCTGTAATATTATTGATAGTTTCAAAGGCGCAAATTGCAAATTGCTTATGCGCGGCAAATTAACCCGCATTCGTTTTTTTTTTCGAATTGATTTGACACAAAACACAAGTTTTTGAGGCAAACTTAGCATTTTGGGCCAAAATGTAGGCAAACTGAGCACTTTATTTATAACATTTATCAAAACTTTAATCGAAAACTAATCGCGGTCAGTTAGTGGGTAGTTAGAACAATCAAGGCCTAATCCTGCTATACGAGCAGGCTTTTTGAATTTAAAAGTTGATTTCTGCGTTTGCTAAAATTTTGTATTAGATTGATTAAGTTCCAAACTTTATCTTAGTTATAGAAGTCACTAGTTTTTATTTTTCCGGCTTTGGAAGAAGGCGAGGGCGGACGCAGAATATTTGCCTGCGACGCAGAATATTTGACCAAAACAGCGTGTTTTTAGTGCTTTAGGACAGCTCCGAAAATCAATTTGGCCGACCTAAAAAAAAGGCTGTCAAAATTTTCGAAATTTTTTTGAAAATCCGCCCCCCCCCCCCCTCGAGAAAATCCTAGATCGGCCCCTGATCGGGAGTGAATGTTTCTAAGTCGTCATTTTGTGAATGTTTCTAAATTTATCCGTAACTCGAAAAAGAGATGGAAAGTGTCAGTTAGTGACTTGTTTCAGTTCAAGTTGTTTTAAATCAGTATTCACGCTCTAAACTCTGATTTTGACGCACATTCAAATCTAATTTTCAGCACTTGAATAGGGTTCGATCAAATTAAGAGGGCAGGTGGGAAAAGTTAAATTATACTTTTTAGTAAAAATGTCCATCCAATTGCGTTTTCATAGCCCGGATATTTTCGGGCAACAGTTCCAGCAGCGCGTTTTCTGAGCAATAGAACTGTCCTTGTTATTGCACCACAAGCATAACCGTTTTCCCCCTTTTGGAGCTAGCAATTACCTTATGTCGAGGTAAAGAGCCAGTTCAAATAAAAATGAAAAGAAAGCAGTCGTTTCACTTATTGAAATTGCTTAAAAGCCGAATTTTGTTATTGGAAAAATTGTTACTGCAAAATTAATTGCTCGCTAAGCAATTCAAATTATGGATTGCTATAATTTGGACAAAGCAAAAAAAAATATTTTTTTGTAATTTTTAATTCATTGCAACTTCGCTCATTTGTAGTTCGTAAAACGTCGCTCCAGAGAAAAATTAGATCGATAAACAAAAAATTTGATATGTCTGTTCAAAGTTGCCATACGAAAACAATGGAACAAAAAATACCAAAAAGCTTTATTTTGCCTCAACATCTATAAGTTCATTCGTTGCTTAGATCACGAATTCTTGAAAGCAGTTTGCGTTTGAAATTGCAATTAAATTGAACTACCTGCAATTAATGAAAGTATTTTTTGGAGAAAAATTGCAATATTGATTGTTTTCAAACTTTAATTTTTTGCTATCTGCAATTAATTTTTAACAACCTCTGCATGCTATGCTGATGCTCATTGATTCTGGGCTTTATGGCTCTTCGGCTGCTGACTTTTCGGTTTGCTGGCTCTTTGTTTTGCTGTAGTTGACGAGAAATGTTACTATTACCATACCTAATCATCCTTTTTCATCAAGAATTAGTCCAGTATACCGGTGGATCACTACTCCAATCTTCCCTGGGCTCATTTTCGAGCTTTGGAACATATTTGTAACATCTGAGGTGAGATTTTTTTTTCGAATTCCAATGCAATGACATTTTTGCATATAAAATTTACAAGTAGCTCAACCTTAATGAAAACGCTAAAAATTCGAAAAGAAATTTAAAAATCAATGAATAAATTTCTTGTTCTCTGCCAAAAAACTAAACTCAGCCTAAAGAAATATATTTTTGACAGTTTCCTGCTAAATGGTCTTAAAATCAACTTAACATACTCCCCTCCCCCTAGCAAAAAAATAATAATTTGAGGAGATGCTAACTTGGTTCAAGACTGGAAGTTTCAGTCATTCAGAATCCAGTATTTTACATGCAGCGCTTAGCAAACTTCATTCAAACCAATTGCTGAAAAGGAAGATCTTACGTTGGTCAAAATTGTTTTAAAACATCAGATCATGTTTTTAATTAGTAAATTTCCTATACTATTACTTTCTTATGAAAAAATTACCAGATGGTCTGCCCTATTTTGTTTTGCTGTGCAAGAAGCCCAGTAAGATCCACTGTCAAAAATCAGGAAAACATTTGAAAAAAAAAGAAAAACTACAAAGAACGAACAAAAAATTTCAAGGTAAGTTTCCCGAAAAAAAAAACATTAAAAAAAATTATTGCCATTTTTTCGTAAATGATAACTGGATTGGGCGAAAAAGCGGAACGAAAAAAACCAGAAATAATAATAGCCAAAACAGGTTTAAAATATTTGGATTTAGAATAATTTTATTGAACTCATCTGATTTCGTTCCAATTAGTCCAAAAACCCAAAATGTCTAGATAGCTTTTTCAAATGGTACTTTTCTAAAACCCGAATCATAAGCATTAGAAAAAAAAAATGAACCTCTGCTGGCGCTTTCCAGGTTGTTTTCGAGTGGTCGGAACGAAAAATGGATCAAAATCTCATCGTCACTGTTATGGTTGTGTGTTTTATTATAAGACCCTTGACCGTTAGCATTTATTTAGTTAACAGTCAGTTATGCTTTATACAAAGTTCATTGGACTTCGCGTCACTATTGTTCTCTTTAGACAACAGTCAGTTTGAATTCAACACAATTACTTTTATTCGTTTAACTTAGCTTAGTTAGCTTTAGTGTACCATGGGTGTTTGAACACTTTGCATTATGGCCAAATCATACTATAGAATCACCAACCCAATGGACTAAATGGATCGACCGGTTCCACCTGGCTATCATCGCCAAAGAGACCCTGGGCATAGATAACCAGTAAAAACCTTTGGAATCGGAAACGACAATTCCTATTTTGGAAGGCGCGCAGGATTGATAAAAGGAAGCACAGAGGAAAGCCAGGGAAACCAGTAACAAAGATGTAATGCGAGTCTACAAAAACGCGAGGGACAAAAGAATCTTAGAGAAACAAAAATTTGGAGAATGAGGAGAAACAAAGCAGACGAGAAAAAAGGTTCATCCTTTACTTGGCCTTAGGAGCCGAGGGAAAAGGGTGTTTTCTCAAAAACACCGAAGAGTGAAAGTCTTATCCATTTCCTTCAAAAAATATTTGACCTTCTGGATGCAGCATATGTCAAACCAGCAAAGATTACGAACGATATAAGTTAATGAGCCAAAAACAGAAGGACAGAGAGTCCTACGAACAATTTTGCGGAGAGTTATCGGATTTAAATATATATTGCGAGAATAGAAATAGTTCAGAACAGGAATGGATGAGAGATGTATTCATATTCAATATAGAAAATTTCCATCTCCAACGAAGACTTATCGGAAACGCTAAATCCAGTGGATACAATCAACCAAATATTTATCGATGAGAAAGTATATTACAATCATCTCAAACTAACCATCATGACGAGGGCCAACAACAACAAAAGCGGCAGGGTGTACAAAAATTTTAACACTGTAAGAAACAACCAAGTCTGAAAAAAGAAAGTCAAACACCTGTATGAAACGTGGAAACGCTTTTACCAAAAGATATTTGAACGTTTGCCTAGCACAAGAAATAAAATGTAACATTTGAAAATACAAAGGACACTTTGGAACACTCTGTAAATCAAAAGGATGAAAGTCAGTTGTTAATAAAGTAGAAGACAATGTAAATAATCAAAATTGTCCATTTTCCCCACGGGAATCCCAAGGGAACTCAGAAGAAAATTTTTGTGGAATTATAAATGCCTGGACTGAAGAGGGAAAGAATGAAAACAATGATTACTCGGTGTTAAACATACGAATTATCTACAACGACAATAGCCTCGGAACGAAGGAACTTGTCAATATCGAATTAGGTGAGGACGCAATTGTAAATATGAATGTTCCAGTAGATTCAGCTAGTCCAATAGGCTTCCTGAAACAGAGTGTGCTCTATGAGCTAAATACTAGAGACCCACAACTGAAAAATCTACCCGTTGAAAAAACTCCGGCCAATGATTTGCAGCTTCAGCAGCAATATATTAAATATGATAGAAAAAATTGTTGTCAGAATACAATCCAACGGATGAATTTCATTAGAAAATCCAATTTTCATCACTACCGGACACGAACGGAACATCTTAGGAAATGACAACTTACCCTGAATCGGAATAGAAAATGCGCAGAAACAACCATTACTCCTAATGAACACCGTATCTTTTCCGGAATCTTGTAAGCCTATTGTCCATTCAAATACAACTCTTAACATGTACAATATTTTTAATTATTTTTTTAAACAGGTTAGGAAAACTACAATTGGATAGAAGGATTACACATTTCCACTCTCCGTTTAAAGCAATTCAAATAAAAGGTAGAATAGCTCATTTGCTTTTACTGGAAACCAAGAAGTTCGAATTGTATAGAATGGAAAGAGAAGGGCACATTGTCAAATTAGATAAAAGCGATGAAGACTGTTTCATAAACCCAATCGTAATTACAAGCAAAAAAGATGGCGAAAATAAATTAGCTTTAGACTCTAAACCTATCGAAAAAAAATCACGTGAAGCATCCTGGACAGCAAAAAACATGGCAGTTAAGTGGGAGAAATGTGCAATCTTTCAAAAAGATTTTGATGAGTGGGGTTCAAGATCTCGCACACCGGAGTAAAACCAATGGTTGGGAAATCAGATACAATAAAAAATCTTACCGAAGCCAAAGAGTATTTCAGAATTAAGATCATTTATTGGTTCATTAAACCAGCACATGAAATTCGTCCCTAACGGGTCAAAACTGAGCTCACCGCTACGTCCTTTTTTAGTCAAAAAGTCAGTATATCATCGGGATTATTCTAAGACGAAAGCTTTCGAAGAACTGAAAAAATAAATTGTTAATATAACGGAGAACAGTCATTTTGATGATAAAAAAAGGAAATCGAGATTGAAAACAGCCGCTCGCATAACGGTTTAAGAGCTACATTAGAACAACGGGAGGGGGAACTGTAGTTAACAATTCCATTTGCTTGTCGTTTTTTAAACAGCCAAGAAAAGAAATACCCAACAAATAAGCTTCAACTTTTGGAAGTGGTTTGGGCAACCGAACATTTCAAAAACTTTTTAAACGGCGCAGTTTGAAATGGCAAGGGATCATAAAGCGCAGTTATTGGCGTCAAACGCAAACCAGAGCAATAAAACGAAGTATAGTAGACTGACCCGATGGTTAAATGGACTCATGCCGTTTAGTTTTAAAATAAAACCTATCCCAGGAAAAAGAATGGGATTTACCCACTTAATGCCGAGACTAACCATCAAGAAAATCCCTACCAAACTCACATTACGACAACGAATTTGCGGTGGCAACTGTTAAAAAGATTTTAGAAAATTTTGCTGTAAATGGTGACTTTGAAAAGAAGAATTGTATAAAGAACGATTTGTTGATTGATAGTCCCTACAACGTGGATGAATAGAGTGTAATATTATTACCAGCTTGGATTGCGTAAATCCAATGGTCGGAAAGAACGCAAAGCTGCAACACATTCAACGGTCGTTCTTCGTGAACTTCCCTTATTCTGTCACAGACACACAGCGAACAGAACTTGCAATTCTAATCAGTCGCGTTCAAAGTCTCGTACCAGAAGTTGCATTCCATTAAATTTTTCCAATTTTAGTTTCAACCAATTTTTCTTTTCAGACAAGTGTTACTTTTTGTTTACAATACCTTCAGTATTATCAATTTAAAAAAAAAATTGAATCAAGAAGATAAATCCAAACTTATAGAGTTTCAAGCTTCAGAAAAGCTCTTAAAGTTATCTCATCAAGCGGAGAATCAAGGAATTTCAATGAAATTCGAGAACGACCTTATGTCCGAAATACATCAGAAGTTACTTACAAAGTACAAGGTACAGCTAAAATTATATTCATCTCCATTAGTGTTTACGGACCATTGTTCGAACAAGTTCATCAGAATGATGACAGACGAAGACAAACCATTGTTCATACCACAGACGAAAACAAACCATTGTTCAAACCACAGACGAAGACAAATGATGACAGACGAAGACAAACAATTGACAGACCATTGTTCGAACAAATTCAACAGAACGATGACAGAAGAAGACAAACCCTCAAAGACGTAATTCTGGCGTAGGAAGAAGATAGACCACTGGATAGATTCGGGGCGTATTTGAAGACCTTCCAACGGGATGTTCATAAAAAGGAAGAAATATTTTTCAACGATAACAAATTGATCGTACCAGCAGCCCATAGATCTCGTTTCATGACACTTTTCCACGAGAGCCATCCAGGACAGTTCGGGATGAAAACACTGGCGGAAAACATTTGATGGGCGCACTTTTACCGAGACAATTATCACCACGGAAAAAATTGTGCTCTGTGTATAAAAGCTGGTAAGTTCCTTAAAGTCATTCTGGGCTTGAACAAAACGCAGAAATTACCAGATTTATCTGAATCTAACAAAAAACTAAATATGCAATTCGCAGATTAATTTGACAAAAACTGGGGCAAATCAAAGTTTTTAATTTTATGTATAGATAGGATCACAAAATTTTCCTTGGCTAAGTAGTAAAAAATACTTCAACTTCTTCGGTACTCACATTTCTGATGGATTACTGCACAACCTAAA